CCGGCGGCACCGGGCCCGGCTGGAGGCCGAGCTGGCCCGCCTGAAGGTGCAGCAGAAGGTGAGCCGCAACGAGGAGCTCCTGGCCCCGGCGCAGGCAGCCAGCCCCGGAGGTGAGTGGGCCTTGGGGCCGGGCGGTCTCCCTGCGCTGGCGGCAGCGGTGGGTTGTGTCTGACCCGACCGGCTCCCCCAGCCTCCCAGGTACCGCGCTACGTCCGAGTCAACACCCTGAAGACTTGCGTGGACGATGTGATTGACTTCTTCAAGCGCCAGGGCTACTCCTACCTGGGCAAGGCAGCCAGGTAAGCGCGTCTTTCTGCCGTCCCACCTTATCTGGGATGTCAGCGAGCGGCAAGGGCTTGGGACGAGGTCCTGTGGACCGGAGGGTTGTTGGTGCTCACAGTGTCCAGGTTGGGGTCCCTGTCGCTCCCCACTCTTACCTTCTGCCTCTCCGGGCGCTGCCTGGTGCCGAAGTGGAGAGGAGTCGCGGGGCGAAGGGAGGGGTTCTCGGCCTGGGCTCTAGTGTGGGCACGGTGAAGCAGGACTGTGTGTTCATCCTCCCTGTGCCTCGTGGGCAGTGTGGAGGAACTGAGGGCCCTCTCCGGGAAGAAATTCTTGTTGGATCTGCATCTCCCGGAGCTGCTGGTTTTCCCTCCGCAGACGGACTTCCACGACAACCTGCTGTATACTTCAGGACACGTAATTCTGCAGGACAAGGTGGGGGAGCTGGGGAGCAGGAGGCTGCAGGGGCGGGAAAACCACCGACGTGGGTGGAGGGTCGGCCCCTTCCTCCATGCCGAGGGCTGGGCTTGGGCCGGCTGTGCTGCAGCGCTGGAAGTCTAAGCGAAAATTGTGAAGGCAGCCTGCAGCTGTGGGGTTCCCCTGTGGCTTTGCTTCCGTAGCCTGGAGGTACGGGACGAATTACTCTGAACTGAGCTGTAAACCCTCCCCCCCACGGGAGCTGGGGACCAGCAGCGGGGAAGAGTGCGGGGCTGTGGGCTGGGCAGAGGCTTCCGGCGGTGGATGGTGGCGGTGGACTTGGCCCTCTGTTGCTGTGGCTGCCTGCCACCCCGCAGCGTCAGCCATGCCCCGAGGAGGGGCCGGGGGTGCTTGCTGCCCGCACCTCTCACGGGGGTTTGCCCTCTTGCAGGCCAGCTGCCTCCCTGCCTTCCTCCTCGGCCCTGCTGCCGGCTCCCACGTCATCGATGCCTGCGCTGCCCCCGGGAACAAGACCAGCCACCTGGCTGCCATCCTGAAGAACAAGGGGTGAGTGCAGGTTTTTATGTGCTGGGGGGGAAGGGGTGCAGGTGGCCCTGGTCCCCCCGAGCCCACAGAGAGCACAAGGAGAACGCGGCAGGAAGAGCTGCAGCCCGTCACCCTGCCCCGCTAACTCAGGGCGATGCCTGCTTCACCCTAGGTGGGCTGGTGGCTCTGATAGCGCTGGGCCATCGGAAGGGCCTGAGGGGACGTGAAGTCACGTAGGGGTTCACTTCCCAGGCCCTGACCCCACTCTCTGCCCGACACCGGCCCTACTCCTGCCTGGGGGAGCAGCTCCCGAGCTCTGCCCGCCCGGCGGACGGCTGGTGGTTGGGGCTGCTGGGGCAGCCTGCCGCCGTCAGCACGGTTCCTGGGGCCGGGCGGGGGATGTTCATGCCTCTCTTGGGTGCCGGGCTCTGCCTTCAGCCAGATCTTTGCCTTTGACGTGGACACCAAGCGCCTGGCCACCATGAACACCATGCTGACGCGGGCTGGCGTCACCGGCTTCCAGCTGGCCCAGCAGGACTTCCTGACCGTGGATCCCGGAGACCCCAAGTACAGCAAGGTGACCCATATCCTCCTCGACCCGTCCTGCAGCGGCTCAGGTAACGCACGGGGCTCCGGCCGCCCCACCTGGAGCCAGTGATAAAGAGTATTGAAGGGCTGGGTAGCAGCAGAGAAGGTTGTTTATAGGCTGGGGATGGTGAACCGGGTGCCGAGGGAGGAGGCTGCCCCGAGCGCCGCGCGGCTGCAGGCGCTGGCCGGCTTCCAGCGCAAGGTCTTGAGCCATGCCCTGAGCTTCCCGGCTCTCCGGCGCCTGGTCTACTCCACCTGCTCCCTGCACCGGGAGGAGAACGAGGACGTGGTGCGCGCCGTGCTGCAGGAGCGGGGCTCGGCCTTCAGGTG